TTCCTCGTCGAATGCAATTTACGAATGTAAACTGATTGCGGAGGTAATAGAGTAGTCGATCGTTTGTTGTTAAAACAGAATTATAATTCCATAGAAATAAAGCACGTGACTCTAAAATAATAAAAATAATAAATAATTAGCTCTGAAAGCTAAAGGAATTTTTAAGCGCATTATACATTGATTAGTGTCCAGTATTTGGATTAGTGTTAGTCTATCTCAGCGGGCTAAAGCATAAGTGTTCTGTGGTTGTGTTATAAGGGTTTCTAGAGGTAGGCATTTTTTTTAATGATCTTTGAACTTATATATTTAATTATATTTCAATCAAATCAATAGGCCATTATTTATTTAATATTTCGTTGTCCTCATGAAATTATTCGATCCGAAATGCGAATAAAAAATGGCACTTTTTAAAAAAAGAAATACATATTTTTTTGTTTAAGAAAAATATATTAAATAAATTATGAAAAAGACATTCACTAAAAAAAATTGCATTCGTTTTTTCCAATTTTCTAATAAATAAATATGTTTCCCTTAATAACCATTTTTAACGTTAATAGTAGTTCTTTTTAGTTTTCATTACAAAGAAGACCATAATTTGGCTCATTTTATCCGTTTTCAAAAGCTTTCCTCCTCTCTATGAAATGAATTTGATCTTGTTTCCATGGCAGCAAATAGCACCAGGTGCTGAAGGAGAGATATATGAAGGAAAATTTTTTGTGCTTTCATTTTGTGGAATTCCCAGAAATTAAAGTTCTTCTCTAAAGACAATACTAAGGAATAGCTTGTTCTAAAAATTACATTTGTGGAAAAAACGTAGTGTAAGTCGCTTTCTTTCTATAAATGTAAATTACTTTCTTAGTTTTTTGATACCGTTTTTTATTCCCAAAGAAAGTTTAATAGTTAATAAAAAATTGCGAAAGTTGTCTTATTTTTAGTGCAACGTAACGGGGATCAGTAGAAAAAAAAAACAATTTTTATCTTTGTTTCTTTTTTTTTAATAAAAAATAGCTGTCTAATGCCATTCTTAAGATTAAAATTTTTCTTTTTTTTATTTTAAAATATGGCATTTATATTTCCTGGAGCTATATGCAGAAAATAATTTTACATTGGGGCAACTATTCTAATTGGAATTTGTGTTTTAATTTTTAAATAGCTGACATATTAAATGTTCACAAATCATGCAGACTTTCCCTTTGTCAACTGGACGCGTCTTTTCGCCATTTTTTTTTTCTGCTTTGAATCTGTCTATAATTATTGAAGCATTAACACAATGAAAAGGAAGTGGGCTTCACTTGAGCAATGAAATGTTTTATTGTGATCAACTGTATCGAACTCTGATCTATTTATCTTGTCTTCTAACTGTATTGCAAACTTTCCTTATTCGTAGTAAACTGCGTCCTCAGTCATTGGCAACTGTTTCAGAAGCTTTAAGATCGCGTGGCAGAAAATGCTGATGACCGTCGAGTCGCGAGATTGCGTGAATCAAACGATGATGAACTTCTGGTAATTTTCATTCCGTTGCTCTGGTTGATGAATTAGGATGTGGATAATTCAAAAGAATGCAGCATTAATTGCGTGTAAAATATGAAAGAATGAAAAGACAAAGAATAAAGTGTTGCATGCCAACCTTAACTGGGAATATTCTTTGAACGGTGGTAATGTATAGAAAAACGACAAAATTTGTCAAAACGCCTCATTTAAAGTAACGAGAATGCACTTAATGTACGCAATTGTCTAATTAAAGTTGATAATCCCTGACCTGATGATGTTTTGAGAATTTTTGGGTTGCTGCTTTTACACCATAAACAAGAAAATGGTAAGATTGCATTTTTACTTGCTTGTTGTTATCATTTTCTTGTTAATTGAAGCCAGTGAATTAAATTTCGTAAACCTGAATGAGAAATAATTTCATACATTGATCCTTCTTATCTTTGCTAAATGAGGAATAGTCCAGTAATTGTAGCAACAAAAAAAATTGTTTGTGCTGAAAAATTAACACCCATGATTTTGTTTTACAGAAAGCTTTGAGTCACTATAAACAATGGGTAAAAAACTCCTATTCTTTATCTTATACTGTCGTGTAATAAAAAAATCAACGTAAGCGACATGAAATTAAAAAATGTGACTTTTATATATTCGATATTTTTGTATGATAAGTTATCTATTGCCAAAAAAAAATTTCTTTCAAAAATGAATTTTGCTTTACATGTTTTTTGAAATTTTATTTTAGAGTTTAAAGCATTAGCAGTCGAAAGAAAATAATTGTCAAGCCATCAAACTCTATCGTGAAGCACTTTAACATTTTTAACGTTAATAGTAGTTCTTTCATTTCAAATTAAACCATAATTTAATTTATTTTAATAATTTTCAGCTTATGTATATAGACCAGAAACAAAGTCATAACTAGACTAAATATAGCACTAGGGTTGCAAATTTGACTGACGAACACAAAATCTAATTTAAGACTATCAATGATAAAACGAGGAAAAATCTTCATTCCTCTAATTAAATATTTTACAATTACGTAACTTTATTTAATATTTCACAATTCACTTAAACTTTTATTATAAAGAATTGGGTTCCGCCGAAGGAAGTTTAATTACTTAGGGTTCCGTAGCCGAAAAAAATTGGGAACCCATAAATTAAGGCATTGTTGGAATCTGAACTGGATTATTTCATTTCTACATTTAAATTTATCAAAATCGGAATTTAAACTAGATCATTTCATTTCTATATTTAAATTTATCTGAATCTCTGAATTTGAATTCGAACTGAATCACCTCATTTCTAAAATACTTAAATGTATCGAAATCTCTAAATTGAAATTTGAACTGGATCATTTAATTACAAATAACATTCAGAAAAAATACTATGAAATTTTACCATCATATGTTTAATTGTTATTTATACAAACAAATTCAGATTGATTTAAATAAAAAAAGTTTAGTTTAGTAATTAATTTTATTAGTTCAATCAAATTATATTGCTTGTTAATGTCAGATAGAGTTACTTAAAGGTAGCCAGAATAAATGTAAACAATTTTAAAGCAAAGTGAAGCAACATATTGTTAATATCTTTATTTTTTCATTTATTTATTTTTCTGCAGAATAAGCTGGCATTTACATTCATAAGTTTATTACGCATATTAAACGAACGAAAAAACTTACAGTTTAGCTCTAAAATTAAAACTAAATTTAACGTTTTTATTTCATTTATTTATTTTGTAATTACTTTGTCCAAGATATTCTTTCGTTGTTTCCTTCAAATAAAATATTCAAACAAGGAAACAACTGTTGTAACATTAAATACAATTTATAAAATCGATAGTTTAACAGTAACCCACTGACTTAGGAATTTTTATATTTGTTTACTTAGTCCATGCTTGTGCCACTGAGTTACCGCATAAGTTACTAAGTTTTAAAATGATCTAACTGACCTAACTCAATTATACTCTCTGCAATGGAATGTGAAGCAAAAATAGCATAAAAAGAAAAACAGTAAATAACTATGCGTCCTTGCCTCTGGGTGTGCAAGTCTTATTTTGACCCATGATGGTACGTTTATTGCTTGTCGAAATAGATTAATAGACTACTTGTTGCTTTATGAATAATTTATTTTTTCGATCGATTGTAAACAAACGCGCAGCTTTGTCCTTAATAACATAGTAGGTGACACGTTTCTAACAAGAATCTTTAACAGCAAACTGTGTACATTTTTATCGCATTCACTACATTGCTTTTAAAAAATTTCACAAAATTGTTTTTTACTAAAGTAATTTTTTTTAAATTAAATTATATTTTATAGTTATTTTTTTAATAAACAACTTTGGTTTTGTGATATTCTGATCAATAATAAAAAAAAAGTTTAGTGACACAAAAGTTTACTTTTCTCGAAACTAATGAGGTTATGAATATATTAATGAATTATAACCCAAAAAAAAAATTGCTACTCGGCATTTTTCCTACTGCTTACTTTTAATCTATGACTACTACGCAGACTAAAGCTCATTTTTTACAAAATATATTTCTCTATTTCTACTCTTATAATTTTAAATATAGATTTAATTAAATGAATTTAGTTAAATCTATATTGGAAATTATAAGCGATATACTTGAAATTATTTTTTAAGTTTACTTAACTACTTTACGTAAGTTTACTTAACTACTTTCTAAAAGGTGTCAACTTGGTGCATTTATGCTTGATATGCCGGGAATCTAGAAATATACGCATTATACGACTCTAAACATAGCTCTTATGTTTTAATTTTCCATAGCAGGGTTTGAATGAAGAGAGAAATTAGCCAGCAAATGTCTGAAAAATATGAAGCGAAAGTTTGACTAATTCTTGGGAATTAGTTCTTAATTCCTACACGGAATAAATTCGATTATGCGCAAATGTGAAAAAAGCTTAACTAAAATCTCTAAAATAGACTTATTAAAATTTTGCTTCTATCATCAAGAACCAAAAACCTCTCTCTGTGTCAAAACACAGATTGAGAGAAAGGAAATAGAGGGGAGAAAAAAAAATCGTTGCCGTAATTGTACTATTTATCGGTGCTAAAGTAAAGGCATATTATGTCTATTTTTATGACTTTATTCACGTTGTTTAGCTTTATTCATATGTTGCGCAAACTTCTAAGTACAAATGTCTTTGTATAATATATTTTAAAAACTTAATTTAGTTTATTTATTGAGAAAATTTCTACTTTCACAGCCTATTGTGTCTATTTTTAAGGCTTTATTCACGTTGTCTAGCTTTATTCATATGTTTCGCAAACTTTCTAAGTACAAATGTCTTTGTATAATATATTTTAAAAACTTATTTCAGTTTATTTATTGTCCAATTTTCTACTTTCAGTGCCTATTATGTCTAATTTTAAGGCTTTATTCACGTTGTCTAGCTTAATTTATATGTTGCACAAACTTTCTAAATACAAATGTCTTTGTATAATATATTTTAAAAACTTACAGTTTATTTATTGTGCAATTTTCTACTTTCAGAGCCTCGACGAGGCAAGATATGAAGGAACCAGCTAAATACTAATATTTGTGTGTGTTTTGATATACCAAGTGCATCTTTGCAATGCCCGGTACTACACGGTATTCAGCAACATTTGACCGCACATATGAAGAGGAAGAACGGGCATCGTCTGGCATTTCTAATGGCATGCGAAGATCTCGTTCACAGAGCTGGCAAGCAAATTTGGGACTTGACGATAGGCCTTATACACCTTTAGGAAACAGTAGACCTTCACCAAGATCATCATCTACTGATAATGGTCCCGCAAAACCCGCGGAAACAATTCCAACTCGAACACTGTCAAAACCAGTGGTCAAGACTCATAATAACCCCTTTCAATTTGTTAAAGTGGGATCATCACCATTGTACAGAAAAGTAAGAGAACTGTTTTATTTAAATTTTATTGACTTGATAACATTATTTATTTCTTAATAAGTTTATTATAAAAACATATTTATCTTCAATGGATATTGCATATTACAAAAACAGTTAAATAAATCAAATTAACCTGAAATCAATGCAAATATTCTAGATAATTTTCTAAACTTTACTGAGGGGTTATTTTTACTTTCCCTCTTTTTTTCCACTTTAATAAAATGCTTCCTTAATGACATATATGCATTTTATCTTAAGTATTATAGGTAGCAGCGGGTGAGTTTGCCTACTCAAGAAATTTGATTACCTAGAAATATTTATTCTTTTCTTCGAATGAAAACTGAATTAAAATAACAACTTGAAATGCGAAGTGCACTAGAGATTTCTCAAGACTTTTTGACAATTCGGACTAATTGAGAAACCACGTCTCATTCTGCAAAAAATTAAAAGTTTTTCTAATGCCCATGCCAACGAATCGCCGAAAAGCTAACAGTTTTCACCATGTTAATAAAATCAAGGTATATCAGATTGATTCAGAGGTTAAACCTAAGCACCCAAAATATTCGTAATTTGATGATTTCTTCTTGAATTCTTCATCGCTCTCTTTTGTAACACATGCGATCTTCTCTATGAGTTTTGCCTACCATCCTACTATCAATATAAATATAATCTCCACTAATTCTTTTTTAAGTTAATTATCTTCATAGCGAGATTCGTTAGCTAGATAAAACATTGAAAATGCCATAAAATGGGTCATCAATTAGTTGTTGTTGTCGTCATGGGTCATTAAGGCAGGGGAGATGCGATTGTTTTTGTTTTCCAGTGGCGCCATCTGTGGCTAAGAATTCGACTTCTGCCACACCCGTACGTCACACCCGCTTATAGGGCATCCATTCTTTCTCCCACAGATCGTAATTTTGATCTAAATAAGAGAAACATCAATCTCCAATTCAGTACCCCCACAGGTATTGATTTGTTATGAGAACATAGAGGACTTTGCCACCCGGCAGATTTAACGTGCATGATTTACCATTCCCTACATGGAGGTCTTCGGCAGCCTGGCCTGTTCTCACAAACGTGAGTCCAGCGCCCTGCCAACCAGGTTTTCCCGGCCGTCAGTAATTAGTAAATAAGCCATTAGAATTAAGTGACAAAATAGAAACTTGACAAAAAGCGTATAAATTTTATAAAATATTAAAAAAAATTGCTTTGGAAAAAAAATGACTAGGATTAGTAGAAATCATAACATCACCAAATCTAATGATCTTGAAAATTTATCATGCAAACAAAAAATAATTAAATTCATTAAAATTTGCACTAAAATTCAATAGAAATTATTAAAGTCTAATCTTTACTTAACAGAAAACTAAATTTTTCTTGAATATAATAAAGCATGATCATAGTCCTTTCGTAATTTTAATTTTCAATCTTTTATGTATAAATACAGTTTATACACCCACAATTAATTGGGACAATAGAGTTCAATTGAAAGTTTTATTTAACAGAATTAAATGCCATGAATCTGCTTTTAATAATTACAATCACAAAATGAAACGAGATAACCTTGGTTGTATTTTTGAAGATATAAATGGGAATTCATTTCTTTTATTCATTTACAATTGAGTTAAATTAATTTTATTTTCATTACGGAGTACGATAGTCTGTATGGTTTTTCCAAGATATACCATTAAAATTTGGTATGCCACACCAAAGTTTTTCATTGTTTGTTGATAAACAATGACAAATTCATTGACTGTAGGGACTTTTCACGTTAATGTGTTTATTTTTCTTTTTACGCAAAAGAAAAGAAATGGAAGAAACTGACAGTTTTCAGTTTCTCGCGAGTATTAAAAATTCTTCCTAAACAACATTCCATTAAAAGAGACACTCACCCATTTCTCCGTGTTTTGGGGAATTTTAAGAAGTGTTAATACCTTTAATACTTCATGGGAATTCAATTTAGATGAAAGTTCAATGCTCTCTTCTTTTTTGCTTTTTTCAAAAATTCTTTTAACTAAATATGGCGAATAAAATAATCAACAGTTTAATGTAGTCAAGTAACCTAGATTTTTTTTTCGCTTGGAAAAAATTTCACTTTTGCAAAAAAGAAAACTGGTGATTCTTTTATTAGGGTTGTCTCATTTTTTTATACGTCTTGACCACATCAAAAAGAAGAAGTTTTCTTCATTTGTCAGATTCAGCAGGCGTTTATTATGACTGTCTCGAATTCTTTCATCCGAAAAATACCAGAAAATGAAGACATTCAATTGTGGCTATCCAGCTGAAAACGTCATCTTTTCCCATCAGTCTACTCGCTAAAAAGGATATGGTGGTAGTCTTCAGTTAGGCTTCCATTTTTATTTAATGCGCGCTTCAGACTAAATCTAATCCTTGGAAAGAAATTTTGTTTAGAATTGTTCATCTCTGAGGAATAAGTTGTGGACACATTGGTAAGATACTGTTGTATTTCTTCGTTTTAGATTTATGTAATTTCTAATATCAATGATCAGTAAGTTTTATAGCTAGTTTTAACGCTTAAGTTCAGTTTTATAACGAAATTGTATGAACTGTGACTTGTGATGTATGTTCTGAAATATGTGATGCTACATATTTAACTCATAGTTTTTTATATATATATATAATCTTAATATTTCTTTTATTCAATGCCTAAGAAATAGAATCAGTTTTAAATTTCAGTTGGTAGAATGTTAATTGAATGTGGCAATCGCCACTCACCGTAATAATAATATATCTTAAAATTATAAACAAACCGTATTAATATAAGTTGAATGGGACATAATCGTATTTCTCAAATCATAAAAAACACGCAATGACGTAAAACCGCATTTTCCATTGTTGTCGGCGCATTCTTATTGGCCAGAAAATCGCATGGTATGATTCAGTTTTCTCACAAGGATATTCAGAGTTTTTTGGTCGTCTACATAAAATTAATAAAAGTCAAAGATGTATTATTTACCTGTAAAATATTTCCTAACTCTGAATTTTTAAGGGATTATTTCTAATTTTTTTAACATCTTAATATTTTATTACATTATTTTATTCCTTTATTACGTTCTAAATTCTTTCACAAAGATTCTTTCTCAAAGATTTCAATTCTTACTCTATATATTTACTCAGAGACTTAACACAAAGACAGGCACGAAGCCATATTTGACATAAACAAACTAAATATGTATCGAAATTGCCAGGTACACAAAACAAAAATATGTCACCGTTACAATAAAATGCATAATAAATCTAATAAGTAACAGAATAATAAATAAATCTAAGTTAAGTAACAGAAGTAGACGAAAAAGAATTTTATTTCAACGAATTCGACGTGGGATATGGTTCTGTATTTAATTAACTTTGTTAATTGGGTATAATATAGCCTACGTCACAGGTTGTGTTGTTCCTACTAAATTTAACCCATGAACGGCATTTTCTGCGAGCCTAACTTCAAGCCACAAATAAACAAACGAAGTGTTCGATCGTTTAAATAGCTGCTCGCCAGATTTTATTGCATTATAAAGAAAAGTTATTGAAACTAAATACAACCAAATAAACAACAACAACTAAAACAAATAACAACAACTACTAATAACAATAACTAAATAAACAACAACTAAATTCCATTCGTTTAGCATTGCGTCATATGTTGTTCCTTTTAAATCGAAGTAGTGTTTTTTTTCATATTATACCCAATTGACATTCTTAACCTATGTAGAGAAGCTTAGCTCAACTTTAATACGCCATTTTGCTGATAAAGATTCTGCCTCTGACGTCATAGGTCACATGTGTGGATATAGAAGGTCTTTTTCTTGAAGTGCAAGTACCCAATTGTCAGGGCTAAATTGTAAATTTTTTTTAATGAGATGTTAGTTACACATGAATATAAATTTTTTTTTTATTTAAACAAAAACACAATTTAGAAATATTTTGACATATTTAGAGCATTTTTTAGAATCGATTCGCAAATTTGTTCGAAACAAATTTAAATAATTCACAGTTATTTGAATATATTTCAGAAAATCTTGAGAATAAGTAAATATGTTTTAAATTGAGAAATAAGAAAAAAAATTTAATGTGACTTCTAATATAATTTGAGAAATTAAAATAGTTCGTTGCTTACAAGTGAAACCTTCACGCATATAGTTTTAAGATTTTTGAGGATTTAAAAAAAAATTGTAGTTATAGTAAACCAATAAAATAAAATAAAACTTTTTATTTTTATTTTATGAAAATATATATAAAAAAATAATTATTTTTTCCAATTTACGAATTTCACTAAACTTTAAAATCCAAGTAAAAAGTAGAAGTCCAAGTATTAAGTAGAAATCCAAGTATTAAAATCCAAGTATTAAGTAGAAAATCTTGACTTAATGCAGTGTTTCCCAAAGTGTGGTACGCGTACCCCNAATAATCAAACGTGACAAACGAAAGGTAAAAAATCAAACGAAACTCACGTTTTTTAATTACAGGGTTTATTTTCAGTTATTTATGAATTATAAAAATTGCAACCCGGTCACGATCTTATTTTGATTCTATCCGAGCTCTTGTCGAAAATTATTTAAAGCATTTCTTAAAAAATGCTGAATAAATAATATATTTTTCCAGTTTTTGTGAGAATGAATGGCGTTATTTAATTCGTCTTAAAATTACAAGCTAAAGGAGAAGCTTTGAAGTGTTAAAGGAATAGAATAAATTTGATTTCTCAAATAATTGATCATATATGTATATGGAGTTAATATTCTGTGTTATCATTATTGATGTAATGTAACATGATTTTAATTTATTTAATTATATTATTAAGAAACTACTTTCTGTAAAGGCATAAACTATAAAAAAAATTGTATTTTTTTAACTTTTTGGAACTTTGCAGTAATGATCGTCTTTAATGTACTCGTACATTTCACATGCATGTAAAAAAAATTATGTAAAAAATTATCCACTTTAGGGAAAGCAAAACATAAATAAAAACGGTACCGAAATATTACGAATCACTACTGAGGAAAAGTATGAGAAAGCATCAAAATCAGACCGTTTGATGAAGCTCATAGTTGTTTCTAACAATCAACTATCTGTTTTTCGATGTTTTTTAGCCCACCTTTTATTTTAATTTTAAAAGGATGATTTTAACCTTTTTTATACTTATTTAAACTCAATATTTTACTTATACCTTCTAAATCACTACCGAGGAAGGCTGGGATGACAACATCTTATCTTCCTCAACTTGCCTGATGAAACGTGGCGTTTCTAGCAATCAATTTTTTTTTCTTCTTCTTTTCTCGTCTTCTTCAATAGTAATTCGTTAAATTTCGATAGAATTTTTATTTTTTGCACTTAAATAATAATTATTTTACACCCATTGTAATAAAAGTATGCACCATTTGTGCACACTCTTTGACTATAATTTTGATAAGGACTCTAAGAATACATTTTAAAAGCGATCTTTACAGAGCACCCTGTTTACGATATTATATATTCTCGAATTCTTATAGAGGATGTATCTAGTTTCAATTTGCTTTTCTTCAAAAGTTGTAATACGTTCTGAAACAAATTATAATATAATAGCCGACTTCGGTAGTTTGCTGATTAGTCATTCAATAAGCCTGTTAATGTGAGGGAGGGGTGCTTTACTGCCTATAATTGTCTTTCAGGTTCTTCTACTGGCTTTCAGATGTCTTTACTGGTATTTTATTTTATTTTATTTTATAACCGTTGTTGAACAGCCGACCCAATTTCGGGTTTACGACTACTAAAGTTCAACTTCGTAGCCTTGTAATTTTTGAACTCAAACGAGAAGACAAGGGAACTCCTGGATCAAGTATTGGGAGAAATTTGCCTTCGTGGAGGACTTTTTGATGGAAATAACTCGCATTTGCGTTACATGGAGAGGATGACACGAATGTCTCTCCCATGGTTCGCCTGACGGCAATGGGACTCTACCCCATGATCCGTCTGCCACTGAGGATATTTTACGTCAGCATTGTGGTCGGTGGGAACCAAACGCGGAATTTGTATCGACTAGCCATCACTGGGATTCGAACCCGGTTCACCAATTTGGAAGGCGAACGCTTTATCCCCTGAGCCATCGCGGCTTTTCTTTACTGGTATTGTAAATAAGTTACAAATTTACAATTTGTGTTAGCGTATAAAAATAAATCCCGTAAGCGGGATTACAAATCGTAGAATTCACAACGCATTTGGCGCTTTTAGGGAGCGAATTTTGGCTAAAGATNAATTTTATAAAATGTTCGTGTATTCGTTCAAGAGTATTTACGTTGCTTGCAATTATATTTTCTAAATAATCAAACGTGACAAACGAAAGGTAAAAAATCAAACGAAACTCACGTTTTTTAATTACAGGGTTTATTTTCAATTATTTATGAATTATAAAAATTGCAACCGGGTCACGATCTTATTTGGATTCTATCCGAGCTCTTGTCGAAAATTATTTAAAGCATTTCTTAAAAAATGCTGAATAAATAATATTTTTTCCCGTTTTTGTACAAATGAATAGTGTTATTTAATTCGGCTTAAAATTACAAGCTAAAGGAGAAGCTTTGAAGTAGGATAAATTTGACCTCTCAAATAATTGATCATATCTGTATATAGAGTTAATATTCTGTGTTATCATTATTGATGCAATGTAACATGATTTTAATTTATTTAATTATATTAAGAAACTACGTTTTGTGAAGGCATAAATTATAATTTTTTTAAATTATAATTCCATGATCCGTCTACCACTGAGGATATTTTACGTCAGCATTGTGGTCGGTGCGAACCGGATGCGGAAATCGTATCTACCAGTCATTGCTGGGATTCGAACCCAGTTCACCACTTTGGAAGGCGAACGCTCTATCCCCTGAGTCATCGCGACTTTTCTTTACTGGTATTGTTAAATAAGTTACAAATTTACAATTTGTGTTAGCGAAGAAAAATAAATCCCGTAAGCGGGATTACAAATTGTAGAATTCACAACACATTTGGCGCTTTTACGGAGTGAATTTTGGCTAAGGATTTTTGGACTAAAATATTTGTTTCGAGCTAGCAGAATAGCAATCAAAACCAATTTCCTCTTCAATAGGAGGAAGATGGCGATAAACCAAAAAGGATTGATAGCTCTTAGTTTTAGTAAATATTCAAACTCAAGTCCCCATAATCTAGAAAACATAATTCTCATTAATATTTCTTATTTTATAATTTGTTTAATAGATTGAAAATGTTGTTTATCGAATCATTTTTGATTATTGTACAAATAAATTGTAATAATATGGCATACATTTTTAGGCCGAAGAACAACTTAAAAAAGTGAAGGAAGTCAAAAAAGTTGAAGTTTTGAAAGAAGAAGAAGAGGAGTGGCAATCGGTAATTTTTTAAAATTTATTTTAAATCTGATATAAATTGTGGTAATAGATTGGAATTTATAAATTAAATTTTCATTTTTAATTTAATAGTTTTTTATAGGTTTCTAAACTTTTTGCATATAATTTAGAAAATAATAATAATAATCGTAGGAGGATAAAAGGCATATTTTTATGAATTTTATAAATGTACCGACGAAATTTGTCACAATCAATTATAGTCGGTCTTCTATTTAACGAAGTTGCTATATCCAGATAAAAAGTTCATTATATGGAAAATTCGTTACATAGAAAATCACAATTTGAAATACTTAAACAACACAAAACAAGTTTTAAATTCATAGGCACTAGAGATAATTAAAATAGCAATTGAGTAGTAAATTATTATCTACTAGTAAATTAGTATCAGCAATTTATTTTATAAAATTAACCATAAAAGAAATCTGCATGGAAAGTAAGAAATGAACAAAACATTAGCCAGTGTTACACTATCATGCTAGATACATTTTCAGCCAATTAAAGCTAAATTTATGTATGCTTAAATTATAGCTGCATTTATTATAAAAGTAATTTTAAACATATTACCTCACGTGTTCTTAAGTTTAATTGCTACTGATAACGTTCGTTAAATTTGTCTGAGTTTTTCGCTTAAGAAAGTGTTTTCTTTTTTCGTCATCTTCTCATAATAGGTGTCGTATTTTTGTATTGCACCAAACCTCCTTCAGGTGTATTCTCCTCAAGCTGTAATCCACGTTGAATCGTTGTTGATTTTAACATTTCATCGTATGAAAGTTTGGTGATTTCTTCATCATCTCCGTCTTCATCTTATTCGTCTTCCTCACAATTTATTTGCTGTATTGTTTTTATTTTTCACACTGTCCAAAATATCCTATTCAGTTAATTCTTCTGTGATTGCAGCTTTAGAATCAGTAGAAACAAAATCATTAACAGTACATCATCATTAAATTTCATGGTTCTCTTTTAGATGTACCCACATTTTCTTCAAAATGTGGGTACAGCTAAAAGAGTTCTTCTAAAGCTTCCAGTTCTAAAGAAATATAACCCTCGTCCTCTGCTCTAAGAATCCAGCTTTAGCAAAACTGTTTTGAAATAGTACGATCTGTAACATCATAGTTTCATAGTTCCATGCTTTAAAAATTTCTGTTATGCTTTCTCGTAAACTGATTTTTAGAATGGATTCCTGTATAAAATGCGTTAACAAGTTTGAATTGTTCTAAAATATTTTGGAAAATGGGGAAAGTAGATCTCAAAGAAAAGTTCATAAAATAGAAAATTCACTTCACTATTTGGAATTTATGTTACGAAGAACGAAAAAAAATCTCAAAATAGAGAAATTCCCAAAATGGAAGTTCGTTAAATAGAAGTCCGACTGTGAGTTTTCTCAAATTTTAATCGTTTTGTTTCTGTCGGAAAATTATATTTACATACAAATATTTTGAGCTTTTTTTTTTTTTTTTGGTATACTTCAATTAACAATATTAATTTTTAATAGTAGGTCTTAATTTTTTTTTAACAGAAATGAATTTATTTACAAGTATATTTTTTATAATAGTAGAATTTTTTTTTGAACCAAGATAATATTTCTGAAAGAATTGTATTCGTTGTTTTTGTGCGTTATGCATTTTTCTCCTTATTTCACACGTAGAATCGAATTCTTTCGCAACCCACTGATATATGAGTTTTTCATTGGGCTCGCCTTGACTAGCCAATAGATGGCAGCACTATATTTTTGGAAAAAGTTAGGAAAAGTATAACTTTTCTTTTTGTTGTGCTACCTCTCACCCTTCACCCACCACTATAATATCAGTCATGTGGCATTGTTTTCCTGCATCGCACCGCGTCGTTTGGATTTTGAATCCCTCGTTGGCAATCCTCATTTTATATTACAAAAAAGGAGAATAAAAAGGAAAACCTGTTGCTAAAAACCCGTGAAGCGAATCATTTTTTCCTCTGATTCACCAGTTTTCCAACTTTTTATAAAGTTAGTGATGTATGGTATACACCTGCTCTTGTGACAAGTTTTTAGCATCGGATGTTCGTACCCGCTAATTTTGTGATGTCAATCTAGTGATTTTTTTAAGTTTATTTTTTTAATTTGACCGCACTGTGTGGTCTATCTAGCCCTTACCTAACCCTTCTTTGAATTTGGTAAAATCTGTAACTACTAACACGAACATGGATTGGAAACAGGTAAGATATTATTTTGTTTAAAGGTATTTCTTTAATATTGTTGCACCTGTACCACCGTTATTGTAAACAAAAGAATTTCATTGCGTAATAAAATTGTATCGGTTCAGTAATGATCTATTTTTTATTTTTTTTATTAAAATATTGTTAAATGCTTTTATTTTTTTTATCAAAACGATTTTTTTAAATGAGTATATTATATTTTCATCTATGAATTTCTGCTGAGCGAATTTTTTTTACTAATATTTATGCAATAGTAGGCTTAGCGCAGAAAACATTAAAAATAAACTATTTTTACTTAGCTCTTACAGAAAAAATCACGATCTTCTCTATTATTTATTTCTTTTTTATAATTACCTTTTTTTCCTAATTGTACTGATACAATATTTTCATATCTTGTTTAAATTTAAACGATAGAATGGTGCCATGGGTGAAAAGCATTTTTTTTCCTGGTTGAAAGCAATTATTATTCTTTATGAATGAATTAGGTGATGCAGAACCGTGGATGTCAATAATCTCTATGATGCTTAGGCTGATTATTAGAGAATGCGCGTACAAATGAGATTTGACTTAATTAATTGTTAGAATTGTTGTCATGGTAACTGTTGTGATTTTCTCTAAATATGCTATAATCTCTGATTATATGATCTTCATTGAACTTAAAGAATATTTTAGAATTAAAAGAAATGAGCATTGTTTTTCAGATTTTATTTTTAATAATGTTTTTGAAAAAAAGTTTAATTTTTTAAATTAATGCTTTTTCTTTAATGTCTTCATAATTTTTCATTTCTTTTTTATTGTTATTTTGAACAATGTAATTTATTGTTTGTATGGATAGGAAAATAAAAAATTAGTAATTTTAATGGTTGTTTGAATTGAGCAATCAGTTTTTAATTTTTTGTCAATTATATTTTGCTGTGAAATTTGTTATATATTTGTTTTTATACATAGTTAGGAGGTATACATAGTTACAATAGTGTTTTAAAATTCTCTTCTGAGAATTTTTTTTTTAATGTGTGCTAAATACCTGAAAAAAAATTAAATATTTTATCTCTTTCTTGATTTTAACTTTAAGGAATTTAAATCATTGATTATTCACAAATATTTTCTTTATTTGTCTGAAATATTGAGAGGTCTTTTAGAACTTTCTAATTAATACACCAATGGTGCACATGGATATCTTCATGTTTCATGTAAAATCTTATGTTTCATTTAGGAAAACAAATAATTTTGCAAGTTAGTATTTTAATTATCAATCCTTGTTATGTAATATTAATAATCTGTCATATTATTTAGTAAATCTTATTCTGTGGTTTATTGTTAAAAAAAATGGTTGAAAATTAAATTAGCTTTTTTTTCCTTTATAGAATCTAGATAGTTGGAAATCACGACGACGGAAGATGTCAGAAGACGTCTTCCGAAGACAAGAAGAAATTAGACAGTTTGAACAGGAGCAACAGCAGCAAAATGAACAAGCCAATCAAAGGAAGATTAAAACATTTTCAGAAATGGTGGAATCTAGGTAAAGAATTTATTTTCAAATTTCAGTCAAATTTTATTCTTGCTTTTTTTTTTTTTTTTTTTTTTTTNTTTTTTTTTTCTTTTTTTTTTTTTTTTTTAGTTACTTGCAAAAAAGAAACAGTTTATTATTTTTTGACCTGTTTTTAATTTTTATTTGATAGTTGAACGTGTCAAGATTAAATCATGATTAAGTTTTAACACGATTAATTTAATGGAAAAAAATGCATTTTGCACTGTCACAAAATCATTATGGTACTAATAGAATTGAATATATATTTCTTTTTTTTATCGCTAAAAATCTTTGTCTTAATTTATACTTATAAATATTTAATTTTTACAACTACTCAGTATTAACCGAGTACAACGTCAAAACTTGTCTCAGTATGTTAACATTAAAAATCTGTTATTTTATCTCAGTATACTGTTATCTCAATATGCTAAGTGTCCTGAGTACTTGGTAAATTACTAATTAAAATGATATTGTGTACATGTTATGTTGATTTTTTAGTTTTCACAAATTATTTCTAAATTTCTACAAAATAGGTACCTTTTTAAAAAAACCTAGACAAAAACCCCTGATAAATTTTCAATTGATTTTTATTTTTAAATGTTGACTACTAACATTAAACCAAGAACAAGTAACACCGGTATGTGATTCTTCCACGGATTCGCGGATTTCCGCTTTTTTTCAGATTTTTCCCGCTAATTTCCGCGGAAATTTTTTTTGGAACAAGATAAAATATTTTATGAAGAATTTCATTTTCCACGGAGCGAAAGTATTGAAGTCCTCATTCCTCCCTCTGAAGTTCTCTAAAAATCATTTCCTTGGAAAAAACCGGTTTACCTTTATAGAGGGATGAGAATTTTTTGCTTTTGCCTTTCGAATTTCAGCCTTTTTTTTAATCAAAAATTCCAATTCTCTAAAAGTTTTGTTTTTTTATAAATATTCCGCTTTTTTTTTTTGAGAATTCAGACGTTGAAATAAAATAACTTATTTTAGCTATTTTTTCCGCTTTTATGCACAGAAAATAAGATGAAAGCAAACGAAAAAAAAAAAATAGAGGTGGATTTGCGGTGAAAATATTTATTTGCTTATTCAATTAATCTTGTAAATGTTTATTTATTATGTCTAAACAAAAAGAATACAAACAAGCCTTTTAGAAATCCCAAGTCCAGAATATGCAAATATCTCTATTCTTATCCACGCGATTTTAATATCAATCATCGATTTTCGCATTTACCTGATTTAAAAGTTGCGCATTGCGATTCTTATTCAGGCGACTTAAAAATCGTACATTGCGATTCTTATGTATGAGATTTAAAAATCCAATATCGCGATTTGTATTTACGTGCTTTTAAAGCCCTATATAGCGATTCATATTCACGCCAGCTTAAAATCCAATGTCGTGATTCATTTGTGCGGTTGTAATATCAAACATCGATTTTTGTATTTATACGTGCTTTAAAAATTAGACATTGTGATTTGTATTCGTGCTATTTAAAAATTATGCATCGTGATTCCTATTTACGTGATCTAAAAATTACGCTTCATGATTTGTATTTTCGCATTTTTTAAAATTCGATATAGAGTTTCATATTCACGTGATTTAAAAGCCTCATATCGAGATTCATATTCTCTCAATTTAAAATCATGCATGTGATTCATATTCATATATTCATACAATTTTAAAATTAATCATCGGAATTTATAATCACATGGCTTACAAGTTTAAAAGTCGCACCTTTTTTGTCAAATTTTTGGGTGTGTGTATATATATATATATATATGTAATACAAAAAGTAAATACTTTTGTATTAATAAAAGAATTAAATCTCTTTCGTTTTCATAAAATGTCTTTGTTAAAGAATAAGCGTAGAGAGATTCTATTTTGGGAATTCAAGGCTGAAAACATACCATTGAAATATAAATATATTTATATTTCAA